CACCCCCCCCGCCGCCGCCCCGCGGCCGCTGCTGCCGCCCAAGTGCGAGGTAGGTAGGGAGGTGCGCGCGGCCCCTGGCGGCGAGCCCCGGGGGCACCGGGCCGGCGCGGCCACCTGGACACCTGTGGGAGCCAGCACAGCTGGCGTCTGCCCGCAGCCGGCTCGGGCTCTCGGATGCGCACCTGCTTGCGCTGGCCTCAGTGTCCTCACTGTGAAACGAGGGTTGGATCCCTGCAGTTCCTCTGCGCTTTTCCCTAGTTCTGAGGCCGGGTGGGGCTAAGTACCCTAGGCCGGGCCAGCTCAGCCGGCTGATGGAGGTGGGGACTGCTGTGACCTGCGTGTCCCCTCCCCAGCTTTTGCACGTAGCCATCGTGTGTGCGGGCCATAACTCCAGCCGCGACGTCATCACGCTGGTGAAGTCCATGCTCTTCTACAGGTACAGCCAGGTGGCAGTCAGGGAGGGTCCAGGGGCTGGGGCCGCCCCCGCCAGTTCCCCAGTCTCCGGCTTCAGCTTCTCGTCTGTGACACTGCCTTGGAGGGTGGCTGTGAGCTATCCTGAGCCAGGCTTGGCCGAGCCTTTTGGAGAAAATGATGCTCCCACGCCTGAGCCCTTGGGAGAGGGCGTACTGGGCAGTCCCTTGCTGCCTCTCAGGCGCCCATGTGCCCACCTGAAGGAGGCACCCGCTGCACCTGCACTTGGTGACTGACGCCGTGGCCCGGAGCATCCTGGAGACGCTCTAAACCACTCGTGGATGGTGCCCGCTCTGGGGGTCAGCTTCTACGATGCCGATGAGCTCAAGGCAGGACCCCCCTCCCTCTGCACCCCTGCCCAGCTGTGCCCATCCCTCTCCTTCCTCCCAAGGCGTGGGTGGTGAGGAGCAGCCCCAGTCCTACCGAAGTACAAGTCCCTCACTCTGGGGGCTCACCCCTTCTTCCCATGGCGTCACCGAGTCGGTCTGGCACTCACAGGCCCTTCCCTCCTGCAGCCCCAGGTCTCCTGGATCCCCAATAAGCACTACTCGGGCCTCTATGGGCTCATGAAGCTGGTGTTGCCCAGCACCCTTCCTCCTGACCTGACCCGAGTCATTGTCCTGGACACAGATGTCACCTTCGCCTCTGACATCGCGGAGCTCTGGGCACTCTTTGCTCGCTTTTCTGGTGAGACCTGGGTCCGTGCCCTCGCTAGCCCCCTCTCTGCCCGGTACACGCTGTGGTCTCGCCCTGAGCCAGGCTGCTCCTCACGCCCTCCTCTCCCAGACAAGCAGGTGATCGGGCTCGTGGAGAACCAGAGTGACTGGTACCTGGGCAACCTCTGGAAGAACCACAGGCCCTGGCCTGCCTTGGGCCGGGGATTTAACACAGGTGGGGACACGGTGGGGAGGCAGAGGGGTGGGCTGCTGGTCCTTTGGCTCCAGGGGCTAGGCAGCATGCTAGGAACCCCCCAGTAAGAATAGTGCTGCGGAAGGAAGACCGGATGAAGAGCCAGCAGGCAGCTCCAACCTTGGCCCTGCCAGCGGGACACCTGGTCAGCTGGCTTGATCCTTCTGAGCCTGTCTTCCCACCCATTAAATGGGGTGATTTTAACAGCCCCGGGATCACCAGGTGCAAGCAGATGGCTGTGGAGATGCCTTGTGAGCCCCCCTTTCACCCTCAAGAGGAGGATTTCTAAAATCATATGAGAGGCACAGCACCTTGGACAGGGTCCTGACGCCAGGATCTCCTCCCAGCTCAGCCAGCCCAGATCACCGGCACGCTGTGCTAGGGGTCTCCTGTGAACCTGGGACCTTCCCCTGTGGGCCAGCCTCGCAGCGTCACTGC